ATGGCTCATAAAAAATCTTGGCATTTATAAGCTAGTCTTGAGAAGTTCTTCCAGTTACATGAAATTCTGAAGGTTAGAAACAAAGAACACCAATCCATACAATACCATAAAAGAATGTTCACTGACATTTTTCTCTTGTTGGTTTGTTTGCTTACGAATGGATTTGCGATAAAAGTAAGGTGTGCTCCTTGTTCAAATAATGAAATAAGAAAAAATTGAAATAATGACACAAGACAACCAGACCCAAATTCCAGCGCGCAAATCTGGGCTTCGATATCCTTCCATTTAAAATGCACTTAGTGCACAGCTCCCTCTTTGTTTTCATTCAGTGGCTTCAGATTCTGAAAACGCAGCCTGACCTTGAGAGTAGCATGTGTTCCAGCTCATTTTCACAAAGCCCTGAGGTTACAATTGCCCCACCAGGAGACACTGTACTTCAGATGTGGAGCAAAAAAAATATATATAACTACCCTCAGAACATACACTTGCCAGGTTTGTGTTTTATGGATACAATAGGAGATAAAAATAAATTAAAAAAAACACCTGCAATCTTTCAATCAAAATGTCTTTTTTGCAATTCATGATAAAATCATAGTTTTGAAAATGAGATCAACCTTTGTTATTTTTCCTAATTCCTCCATAGCTGATAGCAATTCTAGGTCCAAGAGACAAAAAAAAAACAGTTCTCAGTACCAAACATATACATGAAGACCGCTTACAAGAAGAATCTAATTTATATTTCAAGCTTTCATGCACCCGAAGAGTCCACATTCAGCAAAGTTTCTTTCTTCTTTTAACCTTACAGTAAAAAATCACAACTCAACTATGTTCCTTTGCAGCTTGACCTCTAATGCAGGTCGTATATTTTTGGATTACATTGGCAATGATCTGAAAATGATAAAAATAGCAATAAAAGCAATAAAAACATTAACAAAGTATTTCTTATTAAATACTAGCACTGTACCACACCCTCTGAGAACCAAAACACAATTAGCTCTTCCTAAGAAAGAAGGACGATCGTAAAGAGAAGCAATGGTTTCAATAGGAACATCATAATCAACTGCTTTACAACATTTTTCATTTTTATTGCCACTCTCATCCCTCTGTGTGGGCAAAAAAGTTGGGAGCAAAACAACAATAAAAAACACAGTCTTACCTCATCAAAACTTATTTCTTTCACTTTAGCTGTCAGTTACCTTACAGGTGTTTCAGATTATTCATAGCTACCAACCTACCCGTGAAAAGCTAATTAGTCATTTAACTCTAATTAAAAGTGTAACATTATAATTAAACCTTTCAGTCAGTGTAATCATTTAAACATAAAACACAAACTGATCTGAACATTATTATCAACCTACTATCTGAACAGAGAGGTTGATTGCTTTCAGGTACTCTGATAAAGATACATTTCCTCGGGCAGGATGGTGGCGCAGTGCTGGGGACCTGCATTCAATTCCTGTGGTGCTCCCAAAGGATTCAGATGGATTTAATGCAGCCAAGTCTTCTTTTATGATGAGTCAAGGACCAGTCTTTGGACATTAGCAAGTGTGTGATACATTTGCGGAATGATAAGTTTGTATATTGACGCCCCTCCCAAGGTGTAGAATGGGATCCGGCTCCCCCATGATCCTGAACTGGAAGAAGCAGTTCGAAAATGGATGAATGGATACATTTATATCCAATTGTGGTGGTATAAGAGTGTCTGGCCATTACAGAACGTTTATAGTATCATGGCACCCATTCACAGCACACTGATGAAGTTTTGGGATCTTACTTACTGCCCCTCCATCTGGCTCATGCAGTATGAATGACTTTTTTGCTACATGAGACTAATGCAGTTATGCTATGCATGCTTTATTTGGCATTCCTAAGCATCATTGAATGTTAGTTGGTTCAGCTGGGAAGACATATACTGTAGTACAAGGATTTCAAATACCACTGAGCACACAGATGCTTGTCCAGGCTATAGGAGAGGAGAAGGACAGAATCCCACAAAACTACATCTGCTACCTGCTGCAAAACATGTGCAATATTGCTCATTTAAAAGATATACTACTTCTAGTGGTGGCCTCATACGTTACTATCCTGTGGCTTTCACAGCAGAGCCCTGTCGATTAACCCTGGCAAATATTAAGCAGCATAATGAATCTACCTGTGTCAGATCTGTTCAATAAAATGTCACTACACCTGCTACTAAAGCTTGTCATTTTCCTGTTAACTTTATGCATCTGTTGCAGTTCTGATATATATGACAGGGCACCTCTATTCATGTAAACGGTCCCAGCATGCAATATGTTATATAAATGGAAAATAGCAAATCGATATGTGGATTCGTTGCAGTATTTCAAGTATTTCAAGGTTTTTTTTATAACATAACAGGGTGAACACTGCACTCTCCTGGTCAGTTGATAAATAACAGTTTGTTATTCAGAAGACTCCATTTCCAAAGACTGATAGTAGTGATTATTTATTTTTTTAAAATGTTAATTTGATAAAGTTGTATTTTAATTCACCTTCAGAATTTCATAAGAGAAATATAAATATTTTAATAAACAGAGCTCTTACACTGGTAATCAATGCAGAGTTTTTAAGAGAAAAGGTAGGAAATGTCTCTTTCCTACAATATACTGATGTGAAATAAAAATGCAAAGTCTAGATTTTACATTGTCTCACTGTGCACATGCACATTTCATTCCATATAGTGTGTGATAGGTTTGTTTATTGAGTACTGAAGTTCCTGAAAATAAAATACTGAGCTTGTTATGTGACATTATATAAATGCCAGAACTGGCAAGTGCTCACTGTTAGGTATTTAATTAAAAAATGCATAAAAAAGTTACAAATCTATACAGACATTCAGAACATATTTGTGTTAATCAATGTATGAAAACAATGACAAAGTGCTGTCTGGTTGCTACTGATCAAAGGTAACTTGTCTGTCAGAGAAGGATGTTGGACTTCAACATCCAACAGACTAGACCAAAATAATCGGGTAACAGGCTGTGTGAGACAGACCGTGTCCTAGAAAGCTATTTGATCCATCTGTGCAATCATTTTCAGACAACAGAGGCTGCAGCAGCAGAATTTCCAGTAAGATGTAACCCAGGTATCAACAGAATACCATATTTGGATATAAATGATCTGCAGGTTCAGAGCTTATACAAGCTTATAACATTTTAATAATTGAGACACCAGATTGTCATCTACTGTAGATCAGGGACAGCTGAGGTGGTAGCAGAGAAAGTGGTGGACTGTGACTATTGCCTAAGTACTAAATCATCTTAAATCAGTACATGAATCACTAATTAGTGAGAGAGTTGACTGGACACAGGGATGAGACGTGCCCTGTTTAATGTCAAAGCAGGTGAAAATCAAGAAAGAAGAACACAGAAAGGAACACACATTTCCTGCACTGAATCCATCCGATGCGTTATTAATTGATCAACGCTGTTTTACCATTGACCAACCTGATGGAAAACGAAACCGTGCAGACGTCGAACATTAGTTCATTTCATTTCGGCTAACCGGAAGGGCAATGTGGGGAGGAATCTCCTTACAAGAGCACCTTTAAGAAAGATTGAGGATAATCTTACTTCTCAGCAATATGTTAACATCCTTGAACTAACAGTTTAGACCTTGCAAGCCATTTCAAAAGTGTTGATTTTCAAATAGTAAAATGCAAGGTCACAGTGCCTGGGTTACAATGGAATATCAACAAATATTCAGCCTGGAAGCTACTAAATACAAGCAAGTGGACTTTCTCAGCTTTTTTCCATCTCACTTGCTACCCAGCTCGAATCCTAGGATTGTGTGCATGCTCCATTGGACAACAATTCACCGATAACACAGTCCTCTTCCTCTTTATGTGCTAAGAGGACAATCTCTGGATGACGGTCAGACTGCGGCAGAATGCAGCATTCCTCTCCATGCGTCAGAACACCGGGCCAGGCACCTAATTCCAAAGACTTTATATTCAATGTTCATATTATAACCGTGGAGAATTCAGGTTTATTTAAAAAAGTACATATTTTCATAAATTGATAATTATTAAATATGATGTGCTTGAATGAGACCATGTACTGGCAGTACACAGTTGATTCCACAAACACAAGTGCCATAGCTAATTTTAACCCTGCAGAATGAATATCTTTTTGTAACCCCCAAGTTTGGCAAGCCTTCCAAATAGTTTGTAGGCATGGAAGTGGCATCTAATTGTAGTTTTGGAGGCACGGTGACACCAGGATGCAACCAACTCCTGCAGTTGTTCAACTGTGATCTTTGGAGGAAGTTTGGCCTCTTGAACCATCCTTCTGATTGCACGTGGAGGCAAAATACACTTGCATCCTCTTTCAGGTAGGTTCATCAGAGTTCCAGTTGTTTGAAACTTCTTAATTATTGCCCTAATAGTGGAGATGGATATTTTCAGGTGTGAAGATATTTTTTATAGCCAGTGCCTGATTTATGAAGGTCAACAACCTTTTGTCGCATTTCTTTATTCTCTGATCTTCCCCAAGTTGATGGATGATTAAAGATGTTTGTCCTGTGTCTCACCTCATATTTATACCCTAGTGAAACAGGAAGTCATGGATGACCACTTAAGTTTTCCTAAAGACTCAGGTGTGTTTAAAAAAAGGTAAAATATAAATGGGCATATATGTCAATTAGATTTTGTTCATTGGAATTTCTAGGGGTGCCAATAATTGTAACGTGTTTCTGAGGATTTTTTCCTTTGAATAATTTTACCTCACTGAAAGGTTAGATTTCTCTCAGATTTTCAGTGTAAGATCAAGCTGATAAAAACCAGACATTTTTTCATAGCCTTTTTTGCTCATCTTTACAAAGGGTGCCAATAATTCTGGAGGGCACTGTATGCATAAAGTGTATAAAATAAAATGCAGATCATATTGTTTACTATGACCAATCCTTTGTGGTTTCCCTACTATTATTTACTCCATAAACAGAGAATGAATGCAATGTAAGATTGATTAATGAATAAGACATTTCATTTTTAATGTACATAGTTTATTGATGTCCAAATTTATATCGGTAGATTTGGAGGAATAAACTGTACTTTTTAAACATTCTCTTAAACAAAATATAACAAATATTTACACTCACTGGTAAAAATACAAAAAGCATACAGGCAAATTGTCTTTCTAAAAGACATAAGTTACAACAGCTATGAAAAATGGGAGACAAAAAGCAACTTATTGGATAATACTTGTGTCACAGACATGTGCAGTACATTTGCTACCTGTATGACTACAATTGTGCAGTTCTGCCAGAGGTCTAAAAAACATTTATTCCAAAGCTCATTTAGTGCATTCCAGATATATTAGAATAGAGACAAGCGATTGGCAAACAGTGACACACAAGTCAGAAAAAAGAAAATGCCAAAATAAATCTCCCAATATAGCAGAAAGCAACGTTAAAGAGAAAATACACCTTGGTTGAACTGCTCGTGACTTTGCACAACTATGTAGCTCATAACAGAGAATGCTACAGAATAGTCATACGAGTGACACTTTTTGATGTTGTTCCCTATATAAAAAGTGGTAGGCTCCTTAAAAAAAACAGGGCACCGGCCAAGAAAAACTCATGTGTATGGTGTTGAACATTTTAACTTCAAAACACAGTAGTTTATGATACTTTCGTGCAACCCCAATACAAGTATTGTAGCAAAAAACATGCAAAAAGTGTCAGCCCTATTTAGAATGCATTTAGAATGACTACAAGATGTGTTGAACGGTTGCTCCTACAAGAACCACAACAACAACAAAAATTGCTGTCAAATCAGCCTTGACAAAGAAATGGGGTTTTGGTCGGGAGTCTTAGATTTCTCCATAAACCCATATATAAAACAAGGTGAACCTGATGTATACTGACATGAAACATCACCATCCAGACTCTCATTGCCACACTACTGATAGTTTACACTACTGAGTTTATTTCACCTCTGCTCTCACTAATTAGCGGAATACAAATTATCTCACTAAATGTGACTAATATTTTGCCTTAGCTTCAATTATTTATCCTTTCAACTGAAATATAAAAGACTAGTAATGCTAATGCTTATACGTTTCATCACGGAGAACCCTCTTTTCATGTTTTCAGTATAATTTGTCCAGAGTAAATTTGGGTTCTATTTCACCCAACAAAAAAGTACAACTATTTAAAGATTAAGGATTTGTAAAGGATTTGTCAAGCTAGAAGTACCATTTTCTCTTTAACTTTGCTGGAAAAAAAGGGACACCATCTGCTATTGACACAACCGATCAATATGATCAGCTAACCTGAATAAGAACCACAGCTAGGCCATGCAAAAGTAAGCCAAACTGCGAGTTGAAAATGCACAGAATAAAAGTCTGAAATTACCAATGATATTTTTTTTTTATTTACACTGCTCTACAAGTAATTTAAATTAGGAAAATATAAAGATCAAGAATATATATTTAAGATCTCTCTTCAAACTTTGTGGCAAATGTTAATACTAAGTTTCATTAAGGTTGTTGGGGAATGTGCAAAGATTTCAGAGGCCACTGGCTCAGCTGGGGACTAAGCCAGTGTTTTCAGTGCCGAAAATCCACGTATTTACGAATAAAGCTAATTTATTCTGCAAGTTCAGTCAGTTGACAAAAGTTGAAACAACCAATTGGAAGGAGAAGCTTTTTCTGCTATGCACAGAAGTTGAGAGATGTCTGGCTGAACTTCCAGGATTAGAACCAGCAGCTGTTGTCCACGGTGCTTTCGTTTCACCACAAGGACCCTGCCGTTAACACTGCTCTCTTTTCTCATCTCTAAGAGCCAGTTGCGTCCGATTACTGTACAACCTATACAACAACAAGAGCAGGACAGCAGCAAGGAGTAAAGATGAGGTGATTCAGAAGGTACTCCCGATGTAAAGCAATGCAGCAAGCATATAAGCTGCGGAGGCAGGGAGGACACATTATGTCATAAGACACAAAAATCTCTGTACAATGTTTATGAAGCTCAATTTCAGTCTTTACGTCACACTAAAAACAGCTTAAATTACACAACAATCTTCCTCTTTAAGATTCCTGCCTCAAAACGATTCGGGGCAGTCATAATCTCAGATTTCGATATATCAATATAACAAAATATTAAAATACAGTCTCTATAGCTTTTTTCTCATCTATACAGTCAGTAACATTAATTTATATTAAAACAAAAAATAGATGTATATATTACCATTAATATCTTCAAGTCTTCGTGTCGCATAATGAGGGAAAAAAACCTTGGGCACTAACAGCAAATGTAAAATAGCCCAGAGATATTCCAGTTATATCCCCACATGGAACATGAAATCCGCAGTTTACAACTCCAGGCCTAGGGTTTGTATTTGATTTGATTACATTACTTGATTTACAGAGTAATTTGCAAGCCCCCTAATTTAGTATGTTTCCAGGTCGCAAAATGAAGTTTTATAAAGAAGCTTGAACTTTAACAGAGCTAAGCCAACAAGACTTGGAGCTGAGAATCCATGAACTGCAATATTTACTTTTTCTTGTTTTATTTTACCAGAAAAGGGATAAAGGAAGGCTTTTTAATTGATGCTTCATGGTAGTAACGTTTACACACTGTTTATGATATAGCTTCCACATGAAAAAGGCTCAATATATTTTTACTAAGTGTTTGACTAATATTAGATAACTAACAACTTGGAGTATTATTTAACATTTTAACACACCCCAACAAGACAGAGTAAATACTAAGAAATGCTGTAGCTGCATAACTCATGTAAGCAATGTCATAACTTCAGGTTGCATATTTGTCTTAAATGTCAACCTGTAAGCGTATAGTGTTTATATAAATTGATTCTAGTGTGAAACAGTAACAGAAGATGTTATTACAATTATGTTTGGCCTCAGTTTCTAAATTCATATTTAGATTTTTTGGCATTAAGCAGGTAGATGGCAGCATTGCGCTAGGAAGTAACCTGTGTTCAATAAGCTGGAGTAGACTAAAACATTTTTAGAACAAAGCCAAATGTTTTCAATTTTACACTCAAAAGAACCTCAAGAGAAAGCAAGAAAATAAGAAAATATACTGTGAGAAGTCAGTGGATTCAATCATTTTACTAGACCTACCATAATCCTGCTTCTTTTAAAAAGACTACTTTGTCCCCTTCCTAGGTACAAATTATGCTGATCACGCTGGAACATATTTAGAAAGTACTAGCATGCTACTTTAAGCATAAGATTACAACACCTATTAATAAGCACACTGACCAGTCTGATATTTCACAGCAAAATCTAAAAAGAAAAGTTAAATTGATTTTGGTCAAAAACACAAAAATTGTGCTATAGCACTTTAATACTTTTTCCCCCCCATCACAGAACCATAGATGAGGTCATTAAATAACGTCCATCCCATTACATGGAGGAAACTGAAGATTTTGCAGTGCTTTGCTTTTTGTTCAAAATATCCAAGGTCATTAGAACGGGCACTGTCACTGAAGATGATTTTGGCTACAAGGATGGAAAAGAAAAGTACTCCACATAAGAATTTCTAAAAATATATGTCTATATTTGCAATTTTATTGTACATGTCCCAATACAGGGCAGTTTGTGATGGTGTAGGCCCTCTAGCAAGATTAGAAAAATGTGCTCCATTAAAAGACAGCAGCAAGCTGGTATAGCTTATGTAATAAAACACTCATAAGTTTAATCTTCCAGTGTGACTGTGTCCACTGATCCTTCGAGACTCCTTTAAAGTCTTCCTCAGAGAACTAGACAGCCGACACTTGTTCTCCTGCAAAAGAACGGAGAACATTTTATTTCTGTACAGCCTGTTCCAATCAGCAAAATAAGAGTCATCAATATTTCTAACAATCATTTTTGTTGCTTTGATTTTACAACACCAGTCACAATAAATTATTATAATTTACAGATAATAAGAAAGGCACTTAGTTTACTTAACTGAAAAGCTGAATAAAGTTCCAATAACACAAAACCATATAAAGTATTTTACATCATTCTTTTTTCCCCAAGTACAGGGAGTTGGATTACACTAAATGGCACTCGCTTCTCCATTTCAAAATACTATTTAAAAAGGGAAAAGCAATAACTGCAGCCCAGAGCAATTTTTAAAAAGAAAGGTACAACTGGTTTTGAAAAAAGGCAATCAGATAAAATTGTCCATTTCGGACTAACATTTTGGTACCTCTCCAGGTACAGAACACCCATTGGTTACAATTTAGGTGTTTAATCTATATAATTATGTTGTTTTCTCATGCATTATTAACACAAAAAAAGATGGAATAAGAGGAGTAAATATTGTTCAGGCAGCTGACACTCTAAAAAGCTTACATTTCAATAAAAGTCATTACAAGTTAGTTAGCATAGGAATCTTTTTTTACGGTTTCACATCACGTACCATCTTCCTCACTATCATGTTGGCTCTGCCGATTAACACTTCCTAGACTAGGGTCAGAGTCTTGCCGGAATTGCATCTGGGACTGAACTAGTCTCTTCGAATGTGCAACAGCTTCAGGTTGGCAAACAATGGCACATGGGGGCTTCACCAGCTTTGACCTCTGCACTGCCACGCTATAGTCTGGAGGTTTTAAGTGTGGGTGGCGGGACGGTCCTTCCTTTACATCCACTAAGGAGATTCCCTGGTATCCCGGCGGAGTTGGGGGGGGCCCTCTATACCTATCGTCCTTCTGAGTTGACGTAACACAGTACACTGGCACAGGAGACAAGCAGTGGCAATGTTAATGAGGAAAAACAGAAAATGAAAAAATAAATTAAAAACAATGAGATGTTAAAGTTATAAACACGGTACAAAAAAAAGGGTATAAACAGAATGCAAGATGAATGGCAGCAGCAGATTTTAACCTTAACTTTCCCCCGTCTCTATACCTACGAACACCCCTGCCATCTTTTAAGAATGATGTTAAAAAGGAGCTTTGAAATGCAAACACAGATAAGGTAACCAGGTATAAAGTAGCACAAATGTATTACAGTAGAAAGTAGCACTTATAGTAGTAAGTTAAGCTTAAAGCTTTTCTACATATACTACCTTTCATATTTTACATATTCAAATGAAACAAACCAGTTAAATCAGTTTTGAATTATCATGCTCAGTACCTTCAAAATCTTTGCAGTGGGCAAAAAACCTAAGGGTTCTGGAAACAAATACTACATCCTTCGCAAAGCAATACTGTTTAAAGCAATAGCAGCGGCAGGTGCGTAACAATACATAAAGCACTCTCTTTTCATTATCCTCAATTGCAACTCAAGCCCCACAGATAAAGAAGACAAGACTTGTGTTTAGTGCTTGGTTAATTTAAGCTAGGAGACGGACAGAGGAAAATGAAGCGGTTACGTGCCATTTCGAAGCCCCGAAATCTGCTGATGTCATTTCATTTGTTTCAAAATTTAAAAAAAGGCATGGAACTCTTCAAGTACATGCAGGTAGAAAAAGAGACGAGGTACAGTATGTCCTTACCTATAAGTCCCTTTTCTGTGCTTGAGGTGACAGTTTTGTAAGACGCATCTGTCCTTTGGGGGCTGTCCAAAGCAGCGCCCTGTGTCACCACAGAATTTTCTGGAGCCCTACGCTTTATAGTCCCATAGTTCCCTTCATAAGTGTCAGATAGGGAACTTGAAGAAGCCCAGCTTTGCCTGGACTGGTTGAGCTCTAAGCTGTCCTTGGAATGTCTTTTACTGGCATCGTCCACCCATGAACCTGTCGGTTCCACTTCCACTATGGGCCCTTCCAGCTGCGTGTGGCGGAAGGAGCTGAGCTCCCAGGCCCTCTGGCCAGGGATGCTCTGGAAATTGTCATGGGAGTTGCTGGAGCAGGAAGTCCAGCTCCCTCGGCCGCTGTCCGCTGTGTCAAGGAATATGTGATCGTGTGTGAGCTCCTCATTGCTCGTTGAAGACGTGAATGTTGACGCCCTCGTGACAGGAGGCCGTGGCATTGAATAGCTAAAGAAGAAAAAAGAAACAACTTCTTGCACAGCAACAGAACCCAATGTGCAACGTCAAGCAGTCCTTTGCAGCTACTACTGAGCCACTCATCCAAAGCTGAATAATCAAAGGGTTTTGTAAAATGATTACTAGGAAGGGAAGGCCATACATAATACTTTGCTGTGTTTGCTAGGGAATAAAATGATTTGATCAATTCTGATTATGACACAAATCATGGCGAGAAGTGCAGATTAGTGGATTTCCTGCTGTGCACACACAGCTATCTGCCACTGAGCAATGTACTTCAACCAGACTGGTCCAGTCTAACAAGTTGCAGAAATATCAGCATTACCGAGGGTATCCCTAGTGCACTATCCAAGATGGCGTGACATACAGTACTCTAGAGTCTGCTTAGTGTTACAGAAACCTGAAAAGTTCTAAACTGAGGAGCTTCTAGGATTGACTGTGGACTTTACAGAGTTTCGTTAACTGGTTAACAGTACCACAATCAGTATTAATTTTATTCAAATTATTTTTTGGACTGCAAGAATGAGGATGTAATAGGAAATAAAAGTACAATGGTATGTGACTTATGGTTTAACTGCATGTCTTAGGTCATATTCCCAAACTGTCAGCACAACACTTAGTACAGTGACCTGCCTTGGTTTGGTACACCAGGTCATGAAACAAGGCAAAGGGGGTGAAGGTCATCTGCCAGTGGCTGCAGGATGTTACCTGGTACAGGGCTGGATACAGTCGGCTGCGGAGTGTACACCGTTTTTCCTGTCTGCGGCCCCGGCTCTCTCGGCGAGGCTGCAGGCCTGCAAGTAGCAGCGCTCCTCTGACGCAGAGGCCGGCACGGAGTCCACCGAGCAGTTGCTGACGAGGCTCGAGCGAGAGGAGATCTCGCTGTGACTCGAGTCCGAGAAGTTATCAGACCTTGTCGGAGCAGTCACAGCAATACCTGGGAGAGGGGGGGGGGGAGGCAAACTCGTCAGGTTTCTTTCAGAGTTTGCAGCATATTTTGCAAAGGAGTTGTTTCTGTCCTTTGGAGAATTTTAACAATATTATAAATTTCAATTAGCAAAAAATAATATACCCTTAAGCCTGATCGCTAAAACACAGTAAAGCAAAGGACTACTACTATTCCCATAGCTCCGGAAAAAACTCAAGACTCTATGGCTCCCCAAGAACTTTATAAACTTGGATTTTAAATCATTGATCAACAATTAATGAAGATGAGACATTTTATGTGTCATTTAGTATTAAGTCCACCAAAACCACGATATAGCTATGCACATCAGTTAAGATCACTTTAATTTTGCAGCATCGTTCTGAGGAGAACATTTTGACCCCCACAACCATCTGAATTTCATGGAATTCAGTAATGTGTACGGGCCAATACAGTATGGTGCAATATGGATGTTAATTTTAAATCACATTTGAAGCAATCTATACAAATAAACGTTTCTGTCTTTCTGTCTACAACCTTCTTCATTTTCTTTCTGTTGGTGGAAAGGGGCTCTTGAAATCTGAAGTAGTAATATCAAACTAGTTATGTGCCGTTTCCAAACGGACAAAAGACATGTAACTTGGCAAAGAGCGGGTTATGTTTCACTCTATATGCAATTTTGGAAAGTGAAAGTTATCGACAGCATGCAGATATTTTACAAATTCATGAGTCTGAAGGAACTTAATTTATAAAGCACCCAGGTCTTAACTTGCTTCCTTTGGGTCTTCTGTGCATCACCTACAGGCTTGTTTCCACAGTTTTTTTAATAAAACAGATCTGAGGTTTTTTATTATAAACCTCTCAGTCTTAAAAATAAACACAGCCTTGTGCAGATCAAATCACCAGAAAATGCACAGTTAATTCAATACACTTCGACAGCCAGTGTCATGGGAGGTGTTTTTTTCAAAAGCACTAATGATTCTAGCACTAAATGGCATTTTCTGCATCTATTATTTTATTAAGCACATTTCCTTTCACTATTTCAAACTGTACAACTGTATATACAATGTTAAAGAGATATTCCCATTTTCCAGAGTGCATCCCTACTTTTTACTGCTCTGTATTCTAATCACATATTCTGTCCCTCACGGTATCACTTAAACTATAAATAACATCAGTTTATCTGTATTTTTGCATACCACTGATGTGATTTGCAGTAGGAAAAATATTTCATGTAAAAACACGAACATAAAAACTGATTAACAATAATGGACAAAATACAATTAGAATCTGTAAAGATATTGATTTTTCTATATATTCTATAGATATCCTGGTCATCAAGAGAACACTTGGCTTGTATTTAATCTAAAAAACATTCTAATGAGCATTATAAGTGCAAATAATTGGAAAAAATGTTTTTGAACACTGAAGTCCAGAGTCTATTCAATCTGTGTTTCTGTCCTTGAACTTAGAGCTGTTTTTTTATTCAGATGGTCTTTCTTCTCATATGCCTGCCTCTGGGGGCGAACCATGCTGAAAATCTGTTCACTTGCACAGCGAAGTTGCTCCACCCGTGACTCCGCTTGCTAGGATCCTCCGAGTCATTTCTGGCTCTCTCTGCCTGCTCTTCAACACAGTGAGCTGCCTTGTCCTCACTGGCAGCAGCTGCTGCAGCTCTCTCCCTAGACTGGCTCCTCTCCCTGCAAATTCTAAACGGTGACCTCATCCTTTTCCTTGGGGTTATCTCTGGCACTGGCTCAGAGGAAGGCCCTGGCACTGTCTGCATGCTGTCATTGCTACCGTTTCCTGCCGCTGCCCTCACTGCTGTCATCTGACGGATTCTCTTCTGCAAGAAAGCCCCACCTATAGAGCTGCGGTGTGCACTGTTCCTGGTGCTAGCCTCGCTGGTCAGTGAGGACGAGGAGCCCGACAGGTTCATCTGGCTCGAGTTCTGAGACTTTGGGACACTGCCAACTGCACAAGGAAAAAATGAAGATGAGACAAAATGCCGCATTTACGGTTTTCATCAACTCCTTCAAAACCCTAAGACTTTACCCGTGAACTCTAGAGCGTTGGGTTTTTCAAATTTTCTTTTCGAGGACATGAAGCACCAGCATTTATCATACATCTGTCGCATCGATGCCTAGCTGTTTTAAACCTTTTATTTTTTATCAAAAGTTCACCAGTTCATTCTAAAGTAGTCTAAGCCAAAATAATTACTACCTGTAAAAGCATAGTTCCGTATAAGAGTACGCTTCACAAATCTGTCAGTCTGCTTTTGCAGATGAAGAACTCAGAACACAGGACTCTTTCTGCTCAGGTTACTTTGATCAAAACAGCATTTAAATCTTTCTTTCTTAAAAAGCAGAGACACGGTGAAGAAGCCAAGGCGCACCTTTGCGGGGTGATCCCTGCGGAGAGACAGGGGGGCTGGAGTGAAGGGAAGAGGCAGTCGACCCAGCGTCTTCTGCAGCTCTCTTACAGTTCACCTCCTCAGATGAGCTGACAGGTTTCTTTACCACCTGTGGAGAACTAGTACCTGCAAGAGGGGACAACTGGGTCAATCTCACAAGTGACTGCTTCTGGCACTGTGAAGCACTTCTGGCACTTCTTTCTTGAAGAGCTGAACAAACTGACAAATTACACTTGCTTTATGCTAAAATAACACCCCCAAGGAATTATCAAAAAGACAAATGCAAACTTCAGACACTCTACATACATTATAAACACAGATAAGATTTTTAAATCCAGCTGCTTTGCATCAGAACTGCAACAAATTAAGACAGTCACAAAAAAGGAGACTTCTGAAGAGGGAGGCTTCAGCAGGTCTCAGAAAGACTAAACCATACGATGCATTTAAAGCAATTTTATGGAAAAACATGAGAGACGGGCATTAAACTCACTGAATGAGACAATGTCCTTGGATGCCCCTTTCTTCCGCAGTGGGTAGAGATTGACAGTGGGCACCTGCAGGACCTGGCTCATTCTGTGTTGCTGGTGGGATTTTCCAGATGGAAGTGATGATCTTGAGGATACCGGGGACATGTCAGATTTGGCTGACCTCCTTTCACTTAAGTTCTTGGACACTGTCATATTGAAACAGGAAATAATTAATCTTGCATTTGTCGTTGCAAGATTATTATGTTCCCACCAAAGACAATCACAAAATAACAACATTTTAAGGCGTTTTACAGTAAGAGTGGAGATGTGTCTAGTTGAGATAAGTGGTTGGGAAAGTCAAAGACAAGGGAGGAACAAACATATTAAGAATTAAAGTTCTGACAAGTAAACGGAATGCTTGAGAAACCTACTACTACTACTACTACTACTACTACTCAGATGAAACAAATCTGAGATAAAATGTAAAAACAGAAAGATAATCTGTTTTATCCATATCAAATTGTCTAAAATGTTATAATCTGATGTAATTATTTTTACTGGTATTGTTCAAAACCATTACATTGGCCCCTGTCTTGGACACTGAGCAGGGCTGTCCAGCACAATCCACCAGATGGCAGTGTGAACCCAGTAACTTCTGAAAAAGTGTTTTCCATTACCAGCAAGTACTTAAAATAATTCAAATAGCTTCAAATTTCATCATCTATTTGGTGACCAATGTTTAAAAACATCTAGAACATGGTCTAAATGTGGAACCAAACCTAGCAGTAGGAAAGGATCATTTTTTGTGAATCTATTTGAGCAATTAAAACATATTGCCATTCTATGAGCATAAGGCTGAAAACGGTCAATACATGAGGCCAGAATATTTAGGTTGCAGAACTAAAATCAGTTTTAGCCGTTTTTCGTTTCAGTTCTATTTCATCTCCCACTGGCTGAATTCTTCCACATCTTACAGATGGAAGTTTCCTGTATACTTACAGAGCTTCTGTATAATTATAATAAAAATAATAAATTAACTGGGTTATTCATTAAGAAATACATATAGATCAAATGAAATCTAAAAATGGCATACCCAGGTCAAAACGTAAAACGTGATGAATGCAGAAAGTAAACTACTGTACAACCCTGGACTGAGAAGAAGTGTACAATTCCCCTTGGTGGAAAAAAAAAAACTTACAGGTGCTGTAGGCGGGTTCACACTGCAGCGACATAATCTGGAATTTCTCCTCGTCCGTTTCCACTTGCAGATTGGAAAGATACTGCTTCACTTTCCGTGCCATCTGGGCGTCCTCGTACAGCTTCTTGGCATTGAGGAGAGAGCTGCGGCGCACGCGCTTCTTGTGCGCCCCCACTTGGACGTCCAGCACGTTCGAGTTAGTGCTGCCCTGGCTGAGAGACCTGCAGCAGGGAAACGGATATGAACGAACTGCATAAAATCAGCACGAGCTGCTCAAAACAGACATGCAAACTGCAGGTTATTTCACAAGAGCGATACATGCCTTTCCCGTTGCAGTTAAAATCAAAGTCTTTCCTTCTTAGCATTAAAAGGATAAGGCAGAAAAGCGTTTATTGTAGCGAATTTTCAGTAAAACAAAACCACATTTAGATCACACACATAGTATGACTAGATTCTGTATAAAACTTTATGCAGGGTCATATTCTACTTCAGCTTACTTTGAACCTTTACAAACCAAAGTGCAAGAACTCTAGTGCATGACTTTTTGTCGTTTCAATTGAAAAAAATCTTGTGTTTTTACATCAGTTCTGTTACACAATGTTTTATAAGCTATATGCAATTACTTCATATTCAAGCAAAATTCTTAAGAGTATATCCCGTATTCTGCATTCCTAGATACAATAAGCTGCACCCCTTGCTACCAGATTAAATATAGTAATATGCACCAATTCATAGTTGTCCTAATTCTTTTAGAAATAGAAGCAGTCCATGCTTGTTAAATATTTTTTTACAAAGTCATTCAAAATTTACTTTTAGCATAGCAAGTTAAGAAGGCCATGCAGGTTTCTTTTTCACTGAACCATGCCAAGAAATAATGATGTTTGATGAATGAAAAACGTTAGAAAACAAATGATAAAAGTAACCAAAAAAAAACACACAACACAAAGTAATTCACATTCCATTACAATGTTTATGATGCAGAATGATTATTCCCCCTAGATATAGGTTACTTCGCAGCATCCAACATGTTCAATGGCTGACAAAGTCTTGTCTTGCAACCAGTCCCACTCTTCAGTATCAATGTTAATACAGTATGAAGCATGCTGTTCTTATCTTGGTAAAGGCAACCAGGATGCAAGGTGTTAAAGTGCTTAGAATTGGTGGCTTGGTAACAGGAACTTACCCTAAACTTTTCCACCTCTTCTTCCTGCAAGCAAGAGCCATGAACATTGAAGCATGTTTTAAAAAGGAAGAATCAGGACACAGAACAGTCAAGACCCAAGAGCAACAGGAGCAAAACAGAAGGAGGAAAAATGCTTGAAGCAAAGGACAATGACAAGATCTGAAATCCTCTTCCATACCTCAGAAATTCAAACACCTTGCATTTGATTACGACGTACTAAATATAGCAGGTAGTGTTGATGTTGAAATTGTATAGGAATATTCTAATCACCTGTCTCTCCCCTTTTCTAAGATTAAAAAGGATTTGATGCAAACAGAAGAGTGGTCATAACTCCTTCAACCTTCAGCATTTGAAATAATTTACAGTAAATTAGAAATCTTCTCCCTTTCCTTGCCGAACCTCTGGAGTGATCATATACATGACCATATTGTCCTATTCAGAAAGGCACACATGAATACAATCATTGCCTTGACCAGTTCAAGCACTAAAATGAAGAATGTCCACATCACAGCCAATAATGTATTGCATCTAGATTATATTAGATATACAGGGGATTTGGGGAAACAAAGGTGATAAAACATCCTCAACAGAACTCCGTTTGTGGCCTTTACAGGCTTCCTCTAGGCAACATAAATCAACAGCACATCTTTCTTAAGGATCCTGGACATTTCTGCATTGTATTCAGAATTACTGCATGTTCTGAAAAATGGAAATGTATAGAAATACAGAGTCCTTTCTTGACATTACAACTACTGTCTTCCTGGTGTCCCCAACCAAAACCTAAGAAATATTTATCATTTATACTTCCATTTGTGATTTTTATTGGCTTTTACCCTACCCATCAATCGAGACATCTATTCTGAAATGCTACCTCTATAAGCGCCATAATCAGTGCCTTTCACATACTGTAATTGTCAAGCCTTTTCTCTTCTGGGCTCATGCACGAGTCTTTTACCTCAGCCCATCAGCCTCCTCTGACAAATCAGTGTTAAGGACACATTAATCCACAACATATTCGGCCACAATGGCTACCCACCAGATTTCAAATCACTTTCATGAATCTTCAGATCCTTACCGCCCTCTCCCAGTACATTCCTAATAATCTATTTGTACCTTGTGATTCTAGCCCATTCTTAACAAATTTAAGATGGCTAAGCCACACGAACGCTCCAAAACTCAGCCATTACTATCAGAACAGCCCCTATTGTAACGTACACAACATCTCTTTGGCTTATACTAAACCTGATCTCTTCTAAAGAGCAAGTGTAATATTTTGTCCCATAATTCATCCTATTTAATTCTGATTATGATAGCTAATGAAACACCCCATTTTTGTTTTTCCTGTATTTTTAACTTGCTTAGAAAATGTTCAATATAAAATCTTACTAGTGCCTGGAACCCTGAAGTAGTTTCTGCAGCTTCTGTAAAATTCAGTTTATCAACTGTATCAAGGTAAGATGAGCAGTTGTGACCACAATGAAAAGTTGCTCAACATTAAAATGAATACCACTCTTGAGTTTATAGGAGACTAATGATAATCAAACCTACAGTACCAAAGGTTTGCTAAAATGCATGAAAGCCTCCTCAATGAAGAAATTATTCTAGACTTCTCACACCTTCCAGGCAGTGCTGGGGCTGGAAAAGACATTGGACAGATGCACTCCTATTGCAATACTATACAATGTGAGCCATCTGGATACTTTACCAATGTTACAATATCTTTATTCTAAACGAGCCTTGTTATTGATTACACAAAAAATCGATTCACACAGTGACACTGGCTGCCAGGGGTTTTAGTCAGCAATAAACTGCATAATATCTTCATCAGGGAATTCACACACGGAGCACAAGCACAGTCGTTATTGATTCTCAGGCTCCAGCCACAGCCCTGGCCTGTTTGAGCTGCATTATTCACATGTAAAATGCCCCACTTTCACCTTTGAAAAGTACCCACCTCTGTCTGAACATGAGGGCTGGGTCCATGTTGGCAGAAGTCATGCGCACGACGTGGCGGATCTCTTTGGCAACCATCCGCAGCTTCTCAAAGTTCACGAGACCGTCCACACTGGAATCATTACCTGCAACCACAAGGAGAGTTTCATCATGTAAAATAACTACACATTGCCCATTTTAATTAGAAACCGCACAAGAGTTAAAACACTGGAAGGTGATGAAGAAACAGAATACTGAACGGTTTGGTTCTACATAAATGTTGGCTGAAACACAGTCTGCCACCTTCATATGTCTGATGTACACAATAAATATATCTTTCTTTATAAAAAAAGATTCCACCAGACCTCCTCAGAATTTGAGGCTTTCAGTTCTCCGTTTTACTGAGATTCTTTTCAGGATACAAGCTTGCTCTTCCACTGCAAATTATTCCTGCTCTGCGATGTAGATATTCTCAGAAGGACAGGCAGCTGATAAAGCATTTTAACACATAGGTCCATCATCATAATGAGCTTCCAACTGATTTATTATTTCTTTTTAATCATTACGAATGGGTTTGTAAATAGTTGGTGCTCATCAGGGACTATGACCTTTCTGTAGGCTAGGTACTTTTATTAACATGGTATTTAACATATATTTAAAATTCTGGACTGTTACTTGTGACTGCAAGACAGCTTTCTAATTTGTCTTCTGCTATGAGCTACCCATTTAACCAAAGCAACAGTGCTCTAGCAGCACTTCTTACAGTATTTTGCTGAAATTAAATTTTACTTTTACCATTGTATGACTGTAAATACTGTACACAAGTCCTAAAATGGAATTGCTTCGATAGCATTTGACAGACGTTTGGTTCTCAAGATAGTTACATAAACTTGTGATTTTCCACCTAAAACTGCTGTATTTAACTCACAAAGAAATAACGAGATTAGTCATAATGCAAAAAAGAAAGCAATCAAGCTAGAAAAAAATAATTTAAGAGAAAACAATCATCATTAATTAAGAACTTCTTAAAATAGCCTACCTTCATGAAGAAATGTCAAGTCCTTCTTCACAACAGGAAAGAGAGGAATGATGGGAGGTTGCATACTCTGGCTGCTTAGTAGATTGCGATACTTAGCCATGTTCCTTGAAGGATCAAAAATGTCCTGGAGATCTCTGAAGAGTTTTTCATACTTGCTTGGAAGCTTTTCCCATGTTCCCCTCAGACGAGCTACTGGTGCCAAGTTCAGGCCACTACAATGGTACAGGACAGAGTTTAAGCCTTTCAATGCAGAAGAACAAGAAATTAAGCAAGCCCAGATCTGTCAGAAAGTAATATGAAACTTTTTCCATATATATAACCGATATGCTCCTTTGTTGAACTGTTGAGTTTAGAAGAGAATTCCCTTGTTAAATATGACTTCTCACTGACTGAACATTAATAGGAAAATCTGAATAAATTCGGAACCTACTCATTTTTAAGAACCACCCCCCAAAACACACAAGCACTTTAAGTCAAAATCAATCAGCAAAAACGTGAAGTTTTATAACAAAGTTTTGAGTTTTCAAAAACTTAAGACAGCTACTGCAATTTGTAATCTTAGGTGCTCTGCTAAATTCAGATGGAAAGCTACTGTAACAAAAATTCTGAAAGACTTAAGAATTAAGTCAGGATTTATAATTTACCTCGCAAAGTGCTGACACACAACTTCTACATAATACATGTACAACAAAAAACACTGGTTTGTGTTCTCGCCTACAAAAAATCTATACCAAAGTGTTACATTTTTAATGCTTTGTTTCATCAATAAGAACTGATGATATATTCCTGACATCAAGCCACGTCTTTCTCTAGTATCTAAAAAAAAGCTACGTTGTTTTTTGCTGGAAAAGTCTCAAGCATTGATTCAATAACATGCTCAGCAGCTCATATAAAACAGGAAAAAGGTTGAACCATGACTTTGAGTTCATCACCCATTTTCAATCACTCAGTGCTGCATGATCAACTAACTAAAAATATAAATTTAGAGACTTACAATGTTGTAACAAAATCCTTTGATTGAGAAATTACATGTTTTATTTATTGTTTTCGGGGTTTTCCTCATTAAGCAGTATGGATGGTAGAAATAAAAGATCAATTGCGTTTTGTTTTTCAAAGCAGACTAGTTGTTTGTCGTCAGTCATAAAATTTTCAAACATGAAACAAAAGAGCAGTCACTGTCACTTACATACTCGTCATTGTGGTTTTTGCTTCTCCTTTATTTTTACAGGTAACAATTCTTTACTTAATGAGACTTAAAGGCCTCGATTTACTTGTTTGGGTAACAGTGGGAAAATAAATCAGTGAAGATAACTCTGCACTTTCTGTTTGGAGATCAACCTATGCAGTGCAGACGACGAAACTTACTCAAGGTGTGATTAGGCCCACAAAAGCTGTGAAAGTAAACGGACTACTGATGAAAGTGACTACTTCATTGGCTTTCTTTATTTCAGCTTTCGCCAAAAGTAATATTCTATTGCAGACTACCGGTAATTGCACTGTATAGCAAGTTAACAAAATGATGGTTCACAGAATATATAAATTCTGGCAGATACCAAGGTCAAATGGTACTGTAGAGAGCACTTCAAATTGGCACAGAATTTCATTTGAAAAAAAAAGAGTAAATCTTAATGCTACATCATACCATCAAGATGAAACATTCATTCCCAATGCTCTTTCAAGAGAAATGAATGTGTTAGGCCAACAAAAAAAAAGGAAGCATACCTGATTATTGCAAACATAGAGTTAAAATTTTTACACTCCCGACAGTGCAGAGAAATTTTAATGAAGTGCTTAATGGTCTTCATCCTCTTGAAGTGGTTGGGCTCTTTCAGGATCTCAGTGGCCACCCAGAACGTTTCTTGATTAATGACATCTTCGAACTGCTTGAGGTGGGTGTTGCTGGCCGCAGAGTCCAGTTTGAACAGATCGTCAATGTACTCTGTGGGCTCGAGGTTGCGGAAGAGTTCGAAGTCCCGCATGGAGAGCTGTGTGGCCACCTCCACCGTGCTCAGCTGGAGCAGGCTGATCTGGCTCTCCCTCAGCAGCTCCTGAGCATCGTCATCTGAGCACAGAGTCTCTGTCTCCATGTTATTTTTCAGGTAGTATCTGGGGAAAAACCCACAAATGGTGCAAAAAGATTAATGACATGAAAAAAGCTGCAAGGCTTGCTCAAAGAAGAGATGGGGTTCGAGAGGTGTCTGCAGAACAGCAGGTCTGTTCTAGGAATTGGGAGGATTACAAAAAATGCAATTCTGGTCTAAGTAAAAAACAAATTCTGCTGGATCAGCTTGTCTGTGTCTTAATATGCATATTAGTTACTGTCAAGGAAGTTCCTGTTAAGCAAGATACAGAACAGAAAGTGGCTCTTATTTGCATAGTCTAGAGACCAAAAATAGATACATTGAATGAAAATTTTGCTCCAAAACATTTACATCAAAAGTATTCAGTTTACATGCTGTTCTATGAGACCTTCAATTTAAAGACTCGATATATGCATTGCTGTTCAGACACAAGCGGGGATAACGTTCACTGCAGTCTAGAATGAAACTGGAAGAAATGTTTAAAAAATAGTGTTGAGTATTTTAATGGCTTTTTAACATGCCTTTCGGAGCACGTGTTCTGTTCATGTTTTTCTACCACTCCATTGGAAACATGTTTAAATTCCTACCGCCCGTTTAGCTGGATCCTGTCGGCTAGTTTGGACAGCTGATCAGGAAGCCTCCTCTGTTTGATCACGCCCTCAGGGCTGATGGAGACCTCACAGAGGGAATAGGTATCAGGAGCTGCCGTCAGACCAAACTCATTGACCACATGAGACACCACATCCTTGGCTGTTGTGTCTTTGCTTATAATGATGTAGCAGCTCTGCTGGTCAGCCTTAAAAACGCGGATAACTTGATCTGGAATGTCTATTATAGAAAAAAAAAAAGAATAGTTTTAAAAGACAAAAAACAGTTGATCTGAATTCTCTGTTCATTTTTGTTTTCACTGACACCTACTGTATGAAGACTGAAATACGTTTTGAGGATGTTTTCATAAATACACAACAAGTCTAGAGTTAAAGAAGTTCCTTAGAAGAAACTACTTCACACATTCCATAAGGGACTGCAGAAATAACTTTGGTAAAGGTTATACCATAAAAAAACCTTAAGCTATCCAAAAAAGGTTAATCAGCCTATAAAATTTAGAAAGATTCTTGAACATTAAACAAAGAACTGTTTCAACTTCAAGATTTTAATACCATAGACTGAACTGCACTAAATTAAGCAATGATAAATAGAATATAAGCTTCACTTATACGATATCAAGCTAAATCAATACTGATATGTAACCATTATTATACATTGAACTATGCAACCATTCATACAAATTGAGTAGGTTAACAAATGCATAATTAAAAATTGATAGCACAAGGCTGCTTATTAACTGCAAAGTGACTTAAACATCTATTAAAATATCATTATTCTTTTGCAAAATTAAAGATTACACCACAATGTCCTGGGAAATCATGATGAACTGCAGATTCTTTCTAAAAATATTCATTACATCTGATGTTGAATGAATAAAAACTATTATTTATTAATTAGAAACAGCCGCTTTAAGTGCTAGATAACAGAAATGCTGTATATCAGGTTACAGTGCAAAAAGGACATTGCATTAATAGCCAATACACACTAGTACAAGACTATAAATTAAATAATTTCCACTAATTATCTTTAAAAAATGTATTTCTGTTTTCATGGCAGTGTAACAAACTTTACACTGTCTGTTTCTTTCTCTTATAAAATGAATTTGGCTGCTTGAAAATTTCAAATAATGCATTCAGTTACTTATCAAAGTTCTCCCTCTCTTCACTCTTCTGGGAGAGGTCAGATATATCAAACTAACAGAAGCTACTGAACTGCTGACTCATGACATGCATACCAAACTACTGCACCATATTCAATAGGAGGGAGGAGTGTGTCAGTTTTATCAGGCAAGAGGTTCACATAAAACTCAGACTAAGCTAAAACTACAAAAAAACAAACATGGAATAAAAAGGGAATACTATGTATGGCAAATGACAGGCAAAAAAGCATGTTAAAAAATGCTAAGGGAATGAAAAACACCACTTTTAGTGGAGGATAAGACTTTTTCAGTATTCCAACAGTAAATAACATTGAAGAATGAAAGGTTTCAGAGAGGAAGGAGGAAAACTTTAGATGATGAAAGGGTAATAACTTATATATAAAATGCATATTTTACTCATGACTGACAAGATGCCCAAGGCTGAATAAAGAAAATATTCTATAATAGACTGAATAGTATTAGCATGAAACAAAACATTTACAGGTTTGAGAATGACTTAAACTAGAGGATTATCAGTATGGCAAAAGTATTTTGTAGTCAACAATCTCCATAACAAAAAAACACTTGGTAATAAAAACTGAATTACAGCTCCTTTAAAAACAACTCATGCATTATGTAGTTATAGGCATACTTACAGTAAAAGCTTACAGCTGCGTAAGCAGAAAAGAAAAAAAGAAGCCAGTCAATGGAAACATGACATTTAAACAAATTGAGACATGATATTTCTCTTTTTTAAAAGTAAAAAAATACGGACATGAACAAGACTAACGAAAATGCAACCTTACTTTTGCATCAGTTGCTCATTCGGGATGTTGGTGAATTAATTCTATTTTAAACAGTGAGCACATAGGTTGTTAATTGTTTTGAGTAATCTTTTTCCTTGATTATACCAAGGTGAAGCCATTTGACTTCATTAAACCAGCAGGTGCTCAATGTTCGATATATGAGTTAAATTAAAATTGCCAGTATGAGTGATTAAGAATCTGTATAAACAGCCACTCATAAAGACATGATTTTAATTAATTCAAGAACAGTGAAGGATAAGGCTGTGCTCTGACTAAATAATGAAGACTGCTGGTTGCTATTGTGACAGTTGGAGGGGTCTGCCTGAGAGAAACTGCCCTGTGAAAGAGATATTCTAGAACATATACACTAGTCTAGAGAATCCAGGAAAACAGGAAGCACACCCAGATGATCCAGGACAATCATATCATGTTTGATCCATAACCATTTTTGCATTGCAGGCTACAGTGGTGAGAAATGCTATGGTAAAAAACCTACACATGAGCAGAATGACTGTACCTCACTTTCTGCTTAAAAATGATCTGTATGTCATTCATACAGCAGAGAGAGTCATTTTATTCAACAGTAAATGCCGTTTTGCTTCACAAAAACAATGGAAGACGACATGATCAGTGTAATGCCAATTGCCATGGGATTTAACCCAACCAGTAAGTCAGTGGAACTGTGACTTATTGGTTGGGTTAAAGTGGAGTGGAGAAATTTGCTTTAACACAAGAACATCAATGCTGCAGTTGGTAGGCTAACTTCACCACTCAGCAATACACTTGTTACAGTTATCAAGCCAGTAAGTTTTACAATCTTGAAAGCCAAAGCAATGTTAAGCTCTTGCAATGGTCTGCTTTTTCTCCACAAGGCTCCACACACCCAATGAAGAGACAGCCAAAATGTTGTATTATTTTTATTCTTACTTGTTCCTTTGCAGCCTACGCATGCTAATGCAGCAACCTACTAGAATAACTTTTCATAGAGCAATTCATTTAATTAATGGCTCTTTATACAGTACAGTATATAAATGGAATAGCAAACCACAGAAAAATGTGTGCATATATAATCGCACACGTGTAGATGTAAAAACCGACACTGATAAATGCAGAAGCACCTACTACACGTTATTTCCACTGCACTGTGTTTAAATGGTAAAAGATAAATTAATGCTACTAACAACTGCTTTAATTTTTTAGTAGCATACTTATTCTAGCATTACTGAATTATAGTAAAAGAAAGAAGCTGTTTTAAGCTAAAAAGTTACTAAAAAAGCAAGCAATTACTCATTTTTAAAAGTCAAAATTATTAGTAAAAGTAAAAGTTCGCAAGCACTCTTCCACTGCATTTCACTTCTTTCATATAGTGTACCTATGTGTTTTTGCTTTGCTGTGAACAAAATGAGAATTTTCAGGCAGTATTTTTTTGGCAATTGCTAACGAAGCTAAGTGACATCCTTATTCTGCCAATTAAACTTTGAAAATGTATTATATTGCCTGCAAAGGCTGGCAATATTTTTTGAAACAACAAAAATGTATAAAAAAGATTTTGAGTTTACTTCAGTGTTCAAAACAGTTCTTTTAACATTTCCGTTAATATTAGGTATAAACTTAGTTACAGGAGCATGCGATGGGAACAACAGATTTTTACAAGTTATGTATTGTGAATTGGTACAGTATGTTTAGAGATGACAGCTCCTCAGCAGCTTGGACATCCAGGAAACAGACAAGAACACAGAAACAACTGGGTAAATAAGAGTCACCAAATATATCGAAAGCAGGGGCTTCCACATAGGCAACGCTCATGTGTTAATTAAGCAGATAACATCCCAGCATGCTTAGGGTCATGTATGGAAATGCTGGACAGGTCTGGATACATATAATTTTGGTGAACATGGCTACAAGAGGAGACCTCAATGACTTTGAAAGAGGGGTGTTTGGCAGATCGCTAGTGACCAAGAAAGCTCAACTTGCTGATGATTCACAAGCAAACGATGTCTAAGGTGACATCAGCATGGAAATCTGAGTAAACGAAATCAATAAAGGGAATTATTGGGCAAACTCCAGGATCGAGATAGCCTTGTAAGGCAAAACAGGTGAGTAACTGCAGATCAATTCACTGCAATTTTCAACCTGGGACATTAGCAACCAGTGTTATCAAAATGGTCACTTCTGAATCCAGCTGAGCATTTATACTGTATTCTGGAACCACAAAGACAGTTTTTTCCATATTCATAAATTAGATGCAAGTTGACTGACAAGTCAACTGACACGTTGAATGGTGCTGCACCACTCCTATAGAATTCCATATTCTGGTAAACCCTATGCCATGACACAAATGGACTCCATTGGCCTTGTGGTCCAATGCCATCTTAACTGACGTGACATTTCACACTTTTCACTGCTTTTCTGTACAATTTTCCCCAATTAAATCATATGCAATCTTGGACCAGATCATTACTTCCATGGCATTCCCTGTACTCTGACCCCAGGCTTCTCTTCCTGTCTGTGTGTCTCATGGAGAGCAAGTTGGTGTATGCGAAAAATAAATTCCTAATACAAGAAATTGTATATGGCCAATAAAGTGATCTTGTATCTTTTTCAGCATCTCCAGGACAGCCTTACCTGAAGGATTTGAGAAGTCCAGCACACTGGTAGCAGGCTGCAGGAGGTCAGGACTGCTGGAAGACAGAGATCCTGGGATAGGCATGATAGCAACACTATGTCTGCACTGCTTGGTTCCAACAATGCTGTCATCTTGGGACTGGCCTACGCCACCATCACTATACAATAAACAGAGTAGAAAAAGAAACAAAAATAGAAAGAAATTCTCCTACTTTTTTTGACCAAATGCAAAACAATAGTACTATTAAAAAAAGCAAATAAGAAAACCTCATTCTTGGGCCACCTCACTGCTGAAATGTTTCTAACACACAAATGTACAAACAGTTACAGATTCCCAAAATACTGTGCAATCACTGATAATATAGGTAGGGAACTTAACATTCAATTTTAACCAATATACAGTATCCAATATACATACAGTGTACTGTATACAGTGAACTTATGTACTACTTTGGCTAATCTCAGTTTATAAAGCCAGTTGGTTGGAGCACTGGAGTCTGAGCCATTCAAATAGACCCACTGCATGCTGTGTAAATACCATGTATGTGGTACAGATGTGTGTACATTACAGTCTTCATTCTTGTCTGTAAAGTAATGTAATGTAGTTTTAATTAAATAATGTCACTTACAGTTTTTGCAAAGTTATACAATTAGGAACAGACTGATCGATGTAGTAACACATACTGCATATTCAAAATTGTAAATATTGCCAAATAAGCCTATAATTATTAGCTTGTACAAATCAAGCATGAACAGTATATTATGTAGCTCTGATGTACATACCATGCACAGTATAACAATACTAACAGAAAACGATAAAGACATTTGTTGCCTCCATTGCCTAGTCAAATATTTCTGTAGTAAACGATATGCAAAGTATGACCTTTTGACAAATGTGAGCGTCATCACTTAACTTTTTTAGGTCATATGCCACAAATACAGAGGTGTAAAAGCCGAAATCCTTAAGCAGTCTAGATAAATGACAGTGCATTCTGTCTTCAGTTACAGACAGCGGGGTATTTTAGACCTCCCTGGAAAATTCAAGATTAGATGTTATGTAAGATTTATCCTCAATATAGAGGTAGCTGGCTTTACAAAACAGTGAGAGAAATTCAATATTTCCAAAATGTTCCTTTGCATTTAAGGCCCTGTAAAACAATCATTTTTGTTTCCGGGCTACTTACAGTAACAGGCTTTGAAGTAAAGAATCAATTAAGAATGTCCTCAATGCAACAGAAACAAATAAATAAATCCATATTCATAAAAAAATTCTCAGGGATTTAAATCCGTTTTACAATAATTGTAAAACACATGGCAAACACTATTAACATTGATTGTTTAGTGCTGTAGTTTCATAACTAGGTTACAAAAGGGGTAAAAAATACTGTCCAATTGATACAGTCTCTGCTTTTTTACTTTTATTGCTATACTTGAAGAGATCTATTGGATGTTCAGTGCTAGGCCCCATCTAGAATGGTGCCTACCAATTATCTTTAAACAAACCAGAGCTCAATGTGAATATTTATAGCACCAATAAGGCTGTGAAAGATACACAGTCTTTAACTGTTTAAAAATCAAAGCTGTGTCATTAACATTTCATATAATGGCAATACACTTTGCCACATTCAATGTCTAAATCTGAATTCACCCCACCATTGCTTTCTTTCACAAATTACTGACCTTGAAGTTATAACAACAATAATGATATTTGAAATGTAAGTCCATTTTAAGCCAAATCATAAACCTTGACATTTAATTTTATGGTATTTTAGGATAAATTAAAAGAGAACTTTTTTGGGGGGTGGGCTTGTCGTTTGCTTATTTTATATTTCTCTTTATCATTTTAAAACATTCTCTTTATAGATACAAGACATGTATCACCTCATATTAATTGTAATTATACAAGGGTCTTACCAAAACAGTCCCCTGTGAAGGTGAGGCAGTTACAAAGAAAGACAACATTGGAGAACATGAGAATGGACAACACCATAGCAACTACAGCCATTAAAAAAACACACAAAACAGAACAAGTGCAGTAACCAGCACACTGAAACTCACTAGGCATACACCAAACAAGAACAACATCACACAAAATCTATATTATAATAATTTAAAATGCCAAAGTGATGTAAAGCCTTAATATAACATGAAATTAAGCAAGTGAAACATAAAATGTACATCACATTTAGGATTCTTCAAAAAGACATTAGAAATATGCACATACTTCATTAGGCATCTTATATGAATGAAGAGGTTCTTGAAATGGTATGTGTGTAAATAAGTGAAGTGGGCTTATCACTCTAGAGTTCCAATATACATCATGGTCACATACACTTAACTTCACACAAGATTTCCAAATGATTAATGATGTTTAAGAACCACCTCCCCCTCTCAAAAGGAGCTATACCAGGCAATCTTACAATTACTTCCCTGGGCTTCCAGCTCTACAGCAGACAAACAACCAAATCTGATCCCAAGAAAGGAAAGGAAAATGTGTTTGTGCTATTCAATCACTTTAGATGTTTGGATAACTGTCTATGTCAACAACGTCACCACTCATGGTCTATCAAAAGCAAAGTACCACCCCTAGCTACTTGCCAGCACAACAAAATACAGAGGATGCTTTTTGGAAAAAAAAAAAACATTTTGAAGAAAGCTTTTGGTTAAGGAAAATGGCCTCTGTTACACAGGTTAATTTGGAATAAAATAAAAACACCTGCACTATAATAATAGACTATAATAGACTCCTACGCTTATTGAAATAAAACAGATTCACACTTGGGAGGAATCAATCCCACACCTCATAAACAGCTATTGTGAAGATACAAAAAACATACAGAACAGATGTAATCATATCCATCAGATATTTAAATTTCCCAAACTACTGAGGCACTGTAAAACAGAAAGCAGGAAAAGAGCTTTGAATTCAGATAATAGTGCTTCCAGCTATCTCTCTTTTTATGTTTTACCTCACATTAATAATACGATGCTGATGAGCTTAAACTGCTTGCAATTCTTACATCAATGCCTTTCATGTGCATTTTCACCAATTTCATAGCAAAAAGCAAAAACCTTTCAACTCCCTGCAGAGCAGGACAGGAAATGAGCATCAGTTTTCATCTGCCAAAAATTGTGAGTAAAACCAACTATAATGAGAACAGCCTATCTATAGAAGATGGTAAAAAAATCATTCAATCTATAGTGCATCATAACATTTACATTTTTTCCTGAAACAAGAAAACCGTTTGTACCTCTTTTATACCCTATGATCGCTAAACCCTTTCCAATCAGATGCATAATTCCGCCTCATTTGATTCTACTCGCATATCTATTAGTATAATGCTATAGAATGGCAGAGTCACTATCTGTGCAGATCTGCTTTATTAACTGTGCATGAAAATAGGCAGTGGAATTTGCTGTAGCTTCACACATCACTTGCCTGCTACTCAGCTAATACAATACTACAGAGCAAATGATGACTCTCTGCACCCAACGGAAGTGCGTGATGTTGAAGACAACTGTCACAGAAATTAAAATGAGATGGAAGTGCTGATAACTTTTAGCAGTGAAAGGTTGAATAACATTGAAGACCAACTGCTGTGACTTCTACTCTGTTTCCCTTTACATGACAACATCGCAGTCCAAAGGTCTTTTCTCCCTTTTGCTTCTGACTCGACGTACCTGAATGGTTTCGGAGGCAGGATGCTGAAGCGTGTCTTGTCCAGGATCTTCCTGATTTTGTTCCTTCCACCCGACACAGTATTGGCTTTGATCTTCTTGTTTCCCTTTTCAGTAGGAAACATCTGCTCCATGTCTCCAGGAAGATCAGGAATGGAGTAGCGATTCCCTTTCTTCTCCTGGATTTTGGGAATGTGAGGAATGCCATTCTTCTTTTCATGCACTATTCTGCTTAACAGCTCCTTGAAAACTGAAAGTACAAAAATATGAATGGGATCTGTCTAGCACAAAGGTACGAATTAAAACTATAAAAACAAGGGTCTCGATTGTGCTATTTTAGTGTTAAATGCAGGCATTTAACTAATTCTATAATTTACAGTTTGTGTGTAGAACAAAAAAATTTAAATAGAGGAGGAGAAAAACTAAAAGAACATGCAAAATACTTGATTAAGAAAAACTTGACAGATGTTTGTTTATTCTCTAGCATTCCTTTGCCTTACAAAAGATAAGCATCTCCTTACCAAATATATTAGTTTTCACTGTAATGGAAAGATGTGTGTTGTTCTTCAGGATATCAATGGCTTTGGCAGAGGTAATGTTTTCAAAATTTTGGCCATTTATTTCCATTATCTGAAAAGCAAGAGAAACAAGAAAATAACATTTGGGCTGCCGGGTTCACAAAAACGGTCTATCCTGCACTTGACACAAATGCTCGTCATTCTAGATGTTTTAATGAAAAAACACACAAACCATTTTCCTATCCAACCCAAGTAAAAAGCTTTCTGAACCATAACGTCATTGAACAGTTTTAATGACAAATCCTTAAAGGATGTCATTGACATAATTCCCACGTCTGGCTTTGCCGAGATGGTGCTGCTGTCCCCAGCAGCCTCATCTTATTGATTGTCTTAATTATAAAGTGTGCTCAAAGGTCAATGATGCAAAAACAGCTCTCTCGCTCATGTCTGCCTTGCTTGGTTGCCACAAATTACATGCTAGCTAATGAGTGCCCACTAGTATTTTCTATACCAAAGGAATATTTAAAACAGTATGTGTTATTAATGGGGTATTAGAGGACACAAAGAACTTAAGTGATACCCCTCTGACACCCAAACAGCACAGAGATAACAAATGACTGACAGGAAGGATAGTTTACAAAAACATATCCTTTCAAGGAAATACCAAGGATGAAAGAAACTTTAAATACAATTAGTGAGCTCAGCTCTTTTTAAAATCGATACCAATTAGACAAACAGAGCCACATGTATGTGCTGTTATCCTACAGCAAAATGACCAGCTATCCAAGAACTATAGCCTACAGTGCTATAGTTCAATCTTTCATTACATATCAGGCAATCCAAAAATATACCCAAGTGTGTACTTATGCAAACATGACGAACCTGATCTCCTCGTTTCAGACCAGCCTCAGCAGCTTTACTCCCTGGTTCCACAGACTCGATGAAGATACCGAAGCCCCTCTCGCTGCCTCCCAGCAGGGTGAAGAAGAGGGAAGACTCTCTGGAGGGCTTTACCAGAGTCACCTGCCTCCATTTGGCTTTAGCAGCACAGGCAATGTTCAAGAGCCTGAGATGACCTTTCATTTTCTTGAAAAGAGAACATTAAAAGTCTGTGACCAATTTGTAGGCACTGACAACTGCTTAAATAATGTTCAGTTGTCTGCAAACATTCACAGACTAGTATATCTTGGACCAATACTTGAACAATGATACGTATCTGGATTGTATTATTTTCTGAAAGAAGCATTGTTTTTAACATATGAATGCACTAAATCCTTACTGCTGCTTCCAGAAGTCTTTCAAACTCCTCCAAGAACTGCGTCATCGCAGGATCTCCTTCAAAATCATTGAAATGATTGTTCACCCACAACAGCACTACCCGTGTAACCTAGCATGAAAAGATTCAAGTTAAAACAAAGATCGGCACTCTTCAAACTCACACGGTAGTTAAGCATACAATTTTTTCACTGTTTTTCTCTAGAGATGGAAACTATTTCTGCAGATGTTTTAAGAAGGGAACACATCTTTGCATTAATAGGATCCCTCTGTATAACATGAGGGATGCTTAGGTTGAAGTTTTTCCACAATGGAAGAGTGTTTCCCTCTAGATTTAGGCCCTGCATGTTCCTTCATTCACTCAAGGTATAACAAGATCTGAAAATTACACGTTGAAAATTTGTGATTCATTGTCATCAAAGTGTGCGAGTCCGAACATCAAGTACTTCAAATCAAAGCCATCAAACTCCACAAAGAGAAAACAATAAACACCTATATCTTCTGGTGTAATCATTCCTAAAAGAGATTAACTGCCCTTTACAAAATGTTCTCAAAGGAATATTGATCGTTTTAAAGTATTTGATGTTTTATGGTCTAGAAGTGAAGATATCTGCAATTCAGTCCCAGGCGTTTGCAGACCTGTCAATACTGTTATTGATCCTGTAGAGCACTACTGCGCTCACTTGAATGTAAATCAATTGTTAAGTGCTTGATGACAGCCTTGGCAATGTCTACTGACCTTGTCCCTGAGGCTGTCAACTTTGAACCACTCTAACAATTTCCTCCCCACCTCCATGGGGCTCGACAGAAATGTCCTATAGGTTAGTAAGAAATCCTCAATGTATGTGGGGTCCACAATGGAATGTTCTTCCACCAAGTGCATGATAAGGCGTTCGGGAGTCCCCTGAAGACACAGCAAACAGACAACAGTGTGATTCAATGTGATTAAACAAAGATCTTTATCAAAATTCAGCTTCCCTATTCTGCCTAGAATAAAAAAAAAAACAGGGATGTAAAGTGGTATTCACATTAATTTAAGCTAGTAATACTGCATACCACAAAACCAATGCATGTGCTACAGTACGTTTGCTGAGCAAGTCAATTTTTGGCAACATGAAAATAAAACCTTTTACATGAAAACACAAAGGCTTATTCAGCTTTCATCAGCCTTGCCTTGCTCTTTGTGCTGCATGCAAGCCACATGACCAGAGGTATTGCTTGGGAAACCCCTACATTTTAGAGGATGAGAAACTAAAAACGTGGTTGTCAACTAAATTGGAATAAGGAAATACAGAAGGACGGATCTACCAGGACCCGTGCTCATTCACTATTTAACTTAAATTGAAGCGTTATCCTCTTGTAGTCAAAAGAAAATAAGTAACTCATATAAATCTAGAAGCAGAAAATGACTGTTTATGAAGGATTAATAATGGCAATCTAAAACCAAAGAGCTAGAAAACAATGCTTAGTAGGCAAAAAATCAGCTACATTAAAACAACTAATGTTAAAATGAAATACATACTGTATAACACTAAGCCCTGATTGTATCAGTTTCTCTTGCACAGTATTTTCAATAATTCACCCCCCAATGTGAATTTAAAAGTGGTTAGAAATTACATTTCAAAAAAGCACGGAAAACAAATTGCTCCCACCAAGCATTACAGTTCATATATTTCTGAAAATCTTTTAAAAATAGCAATTGGATACATAAATAGAGAAGGATTTGCCCAAATAAAAATCATAAATGAACACAGATTTGAAAGCACAGAAGCTGTCCTTGCCTTAATGACGATGTGTCCTTTCCTGGTGCCACTGCGATCGAGTTCTCGGTGTTCCTTCACCATAACGATCTCTCCTTCCTCCTCCACTTTGTGCGTATTCTTTTCCACATGGTTCAGAATGCGCCAGTAATCTTCTTGGGCTATACAAACAAACTGCCCCACAAAGATATGAGGACAGTTAATAAACTGGTAGTACAAAAGAACACTGCTATCCACCACTGATGGGTATTCCGACAACAGCAGTACAGAGTCATTCTCGTTAGGCATTGGACTTCAACCACCTCTTTTGCCAATATTCTTTAAAGACAATTTAGTTTCTTTTTTCAAGCTTTGTATTTAGATCAATATCCGTTGAAGATATTTTTTTCAGAGACTTAGCATGAAGAAACAAACAAGCAATCGGAAAGAACATGAATTTAACTTTACAAACGGTAGCAACAGGAAACAGAACTTATCAGCCTAACTCTGAAACTGAACACTTAAAAGTACTTGCAGAAGCCAAAACCACTTCTTGAGTATTAGCAGAACAAGAAGGTCACTTTTACTGCAGCCTCTCTAAATTAAGACAAAGTTCCTGTTCTATATGACTAAGCTACAACATTTAACCCTGTTTTATCTTGTGCTCGTGACTGCAAACACATATGATTTGAAACCGATTATTTTTTCAAATATATTAAAGAAATAAACTAAAAAAAAATCTAAAATGTATAAAGCTGGACAGACTCCAAATCAGTTACAGTAGCTTTAACATAGAGGGCTGTTGCAGGGCCTATATTCTGATAAATTGTGGAACACATTCAAATTAAAATTGTTTTGTAACGACTATCCATAACACTCTCATTCCGTGTTTAATTGTCAAATAGTACAGGAATTAATAAGGAATTTATCCTTATCAGGAGGAGACATTCTGGACTATACACACTTTACAAATACTGTATTACAGCAAAATCAAAAGGTTTTTTTTGTATCGTAAATTACCACAAAAAATGTGTTCAGTTTTGATACCAACCTGACAGTCTTCTACTTTGGTCCGTACCAAACCACTCATGAACTGCTTGTCAAGAGAGGGAGAAATCCCAAAGCTGTTTCCCATGCAAAGGATTTCCAATCTTCCATCCGGATGAAACACTTCAACTGAGCCATTCAGAATAACATACCACATATCCAACTGCAAAACGCCAACAAAAAACGCATAACAATCTCTTTGGAGAACTCTTTGCTTTTAGCACTTTTAAAGGCAAAATGTATAAGCAGTTTCAAAGCTACTGGTCCACCTCCTGTTTTTTTTGTAGAGGAGACATTCCTCCATGATGTGCTACATACTGTAGTTTGTTTCTCTCCACACATGCATAAGGGGTTTGCATTTCAGCAGAAGAGGTGGATGCCACGGGATTTGTCTTAACCTGAGTTTATATTTTCTACCAAGAACCACTTTGTGGCATCCTGTTATGATAATAATCTTCAAACTGCTTCTTCTAATTCTGGCTCGGGGGGGTTTCAAAGCCAAGGGTTTGCCCAGAAGCCTATGAACCTGACAGTATGTCTTTGGACTGTGGGAAGAAACCGGAAGAAACTCACACAAACACGGGAATAACATACAAACTCCACACAGATAGATGTCCAGGACCAGAACTGAACTCAGGGCACCGGTGCTGTGAGGTGGCAATTCTATCCACTGCTCCACCATGCTGTCCAAAACTGACTTATTTAGCTAAATAAAATTTGCCATTTATTATTACTACAAATCAACGATAATATTTATGTCTTAGCTTTTTACCTCTAGTAAAACTAAATTGTTTCAAGTTGAGAAAATGTTGACAAAATAACTTCTATGCCATGACATGCTCTCTTCCTACTGTAGATTCGATATGAATTTTCATTTTCTCAGGCAAGTACCTAAATTAACTACTTAATGCATCCATCTCTACACAAGCTAGCTAAATAATTAAACAAGCAGTGTGCTCTACATTTTGTACTGAATCATAGATCCACTGTAAGTCACATGCCACTGAGGTTTTGGTTGATGAAGAATTTCTTACTTTGAGAAATTGCATAATTAAGATGTATTTAAAAAAGATGGGTAGTTGTATGAGGTTTAGACTGATCTAGAGTTCACACTGTGTCTATACAAGTATTTTACATCTAGCATAGGTTAAATACAGGGACTTACTTCTTGTCCATCCTGAAGAATGACTTTTCCTGCATGTTCAATTACTTCAAATTTCATAACATTGCACAGTTCTCGCCTCACAGACATGGTCATGTTTGCAAACGCAGGCAGCTGGTGCATGAACTCCAGCAGTTGTTCTGAAACAGCAATGAAACACATTCCTTACAAGCGAGGTTAGAATTCTTGTAATATGGGTTTTCTGCCAGGAAAGCTTGCAAACGGATAACTTTTTACACTCAAGCATAAAGTCAAACATTTTGGACAAAATGCTGGATGTTAAAAAAGAAAAGTTAATATTCGGTCATTTCAACCCTTTTGGAGAGATGAATATGGATTAGTTCAATTTGCTGTTGTGCTCTGAGTGCGTGGAAATAAATGATGTACCGTGATTAGCGATTCTTGCGAGATAAAGAGACTCATGGAATTCGAGGAGCTGTACTGCCTAAAATCTGTGCACGGCATAACTACAGGAGAAGATCTAGCTACGACGTATAATAATCATTTTGAGGAAATAGGAGCTGACATCAAGAATGTATTTTCTGTGATGACTAGATGGTGCTCCTGCTATGAACAGAAAAAAAAGGGATTCGTAAAGATCATTGTTGATCACATTGGCTATGCCATGGTAAATTTTCATTGCATTACTGATCAGGAAATGAATACTCTGTGCCAAAATTTCAAATGTTGAGCTTAATAATGCAATGTCTGCCTAGACACACAAGCAGTTTTAATCTCTGCTTCAAGCCTGAGAACCTACTTTGTACTTTGTACAGTCATCTGTTAAATTTAGTTTTAGTTTAGTTCCTTTAAATAAAAGTTTTTTAATTCAAAGAAACCTTTAATTTAAGAGTTATTCTCCCTACCATCTCAATACACTGCAAAATTGAAGGTGCTTTTCAATCTAATCTTTGCTACTAAAATACTTGCCAACCGTCTTATAACAATACAGGATTTTGTTTGAATAACTGCACTTCCTGAGGCTGATAATGCCTGGCCTGAAGCTTTGTACATTACATGAGTTAAGTGGCTTTTTTCAGCACAACTAACAAACATGTACTGTCTGCTTAAATAACACACTGGCTGATAGAAGATGACCTGAAGACCTTTAAAATTCTTGACCAGCTTCCTCTTCTGTAAGGTTACATTTTACATATTTACATACACATTTTAGGTCCAACCAGAGATAAAGCCATCTCACTTGGTGTGAGTTATGCTGCGACACAGTCTTAATTAAAAAAGGGTTGTCTACTTTGGGATTTTGAATAATTTGTCTAATGTATTATATGTGTGTATGTGTATATCATACAATAAAATTATGTTTTCATTAAAGATTATTAACATAATTCAACTCAACAGTGAAAGGTTCTAGTCAATGGTTATTAAAAAGATTTAAGTAGAAAAAAAGCCTGCGATCCCCAAGAAGAATACCATGTTGTTGCATAATGTGGGTTTTCCTGGTACAGTTTAAATATGAAAGGTACTAACCAACATCATCATCCATTCTGTCAACTGGATCCTTCTCCAAACACTCTCGCACAACATCTCTCCCCAGGAGGGGGTCTGAGGCTCGGTCGATATCTTCATCTTCCTCCTCCTCCTCTTCCGAATCCACTGCTGCCTCAGGGAGACCTGACAGATCAACATCGCCAACCTCACTCTCTGTGGCCTGGGGAGAAGGACAAGAGACTCATGACTTCCTTCCTTCACTGCTTTATTGAACCTATTGGGAGGAATCTCTATAGATCAAAATTTTGACAGGAACCGCTGTGCAAAAGAGTTGCACGGCGATTTTCAGCCTCTTTTTTTTAAGCTCATAGTTAACCATTATCTATATTTTTAGCTTAATAGATGAGTATAGGGCAACAAATGATGCTAATTACAATGAACACCTGCCAATGGGTTATTTATATTAGTGTGGTAAATGAGATGGCTTAGCTAATGCAACTCTTAATATTAATTGCTTATATGTAGATTGCCTTGAACAGTTGTGACCAATCTTTTGAAGACTGTTGTCAATATGAATTAAAAATGGCTTTAAAAACAAGCTTGGTTTCCTCTTGCCCCAACTAAGATGTATGCTCACCACATATATACAGTAACTTTTCATTATGTCCCAGATGTCTAAAACCTCTGCACAGAGTGTTTACAGACCACGTATCACTGTAGAAACCGAACTGTGCTCGTTCGCTGCCCTGTTGGTCAGACGGCTAGCCTGTGAGGAAGGGATACAGCTGGTCTATGTGCCTGCCCATGCTGTCATCTGCTCTCCCACACGTGCATCCGCTGCCAACTCTACCGAGACCGAACGTGGAGACTGCTAATCCAAGCCTTGGGCAATAACTTGTCCAGAAATCAACAAGATAAAAAACAAACTCCTTTCAATGAGCCATGTTAACTAGGAAAGAGACAGAGGTTTAATGAGAACTTGACATTGATAGGTACTGCATCTAACAGGGCAAGGGATCACTTGGAATTCACAACAGATGCCATCACCAATTACATTAAACAAAATTGTACTTATGCATTAAATTAATAAACAGTGTGACAAATATGTACTTCACTTACAAGTTTGAACAGCCTTCAAAAATAATCTTTAGTTGCACAAAGTAAGCATTTATTAACATTTCTTCTTCCACTTGACAATTGCAGAGATGACCTGATGAACAGTGAATAGTTATTTAAATATCTCACACCTTGAGAAGGCCCCATAGCCAAAATGTTATATTACTTTTCAACAGAACTATTTATTTATTTCTTAGCAGTTTGAAGCTGAGATGCTCAAGCAACTCCCCAATATAATCTATTAACCAGGATAAAATAGGGATTACTTTGAATCATTGTACATGAAACTGCCATGACATTATCACAATGCTCAAAACAATTCAGTCGATTTAAACAGCTGTTTCTTATGTGAAATGGTCATAGCAGTTTGTTTTGTGTATTGCCCTGAATTCACTGAGATCATTTTGCTATCCTGGACACCCTAACACTGAAGAGTATAGATGTAACAGTAGATTATATGTAATTATATGTAATTTAAGCACACTGTGACTATTAACATAAAATGAATAGAATGGGTAATAAAATATTTTGCCCTCATGAATTGGTTCATAATACAATACTGGATTGAACAATGAGTACACCTACAGTATATTTAGATACAAATTTAATCTCATTGAGACCAACACAAAGGCATATTACTTTAGCACTAATCTTGTGGAATATTACTCAATTTTCCATGTCAATCTCTTAAATAGATTCAATCTAAAATAGGTTCTATTTTAAAAGGTGTTTGGGGGCACTGTTTTCAGATTATTATCCAAGGTAATTTTAAATTCGTAGTTGATGGCATGCATTAGCACACAAAATCCGTCCCTTGTGTTACTGTGCTTGCGTTACTTCAACAGCTCAGCCAACAACATTAGCACAATAAATCTTTCATTTTGGTTTCAGCTCAGTTCCCACACCTATCGGAAATGACAGATATCAGTTCTGCTTCACTGCAATCACGTCAGTTTCACCACCTGGACTAAAGCAAATTATACACTGCATGCAGATTTGATGGTCTTTAATACAAAAACTGTGCTCAAAAAAGCATTGCTTGAATCATGTAAACAAAACTGGCAGATGCCAATAACATTTTTGTCTTCACACCTTTCCCCTTTCTGACCGTTATTAGCATTTTTCCACTATCAAAACAGAAAATGGGGTGTGCTAAAGGAATGTCAGTAGCAGACTCAAAACCTTTACTGTATTGCAACAGCCAAAAGCACTATTTTACAAAACAATTACAGGAAGTCTATGAGCTCTCCTAAGACTTCAAAATACTGCTGGAATCTGTGAAAGACTACATCCGATTTATTAAACTCTACAGTAGTTCGGATTTCAAGAAACACTATCTATCTTGCTTATTTCAACGACTGGGACAGAAATCTATCTTCTGTTTATTTTTGAGTGATGTCACATATCTGGGAAAGGTATTTTTTGAATGTTTTAGGACAAATGGAATGTTACTTTGCATTACAATACATTTCATTTTTACATTGCAGAATAGTTCATACACCAGATTACTTGACCTTTTCAAGAAAAATCTATAGAAACAATGATAGCATAACTCAATGTTATATATTTATAATGTTAAATTTATTTATAATGCACTTTATCTTTAATGTTATAATGTATAATTTGTTTCTATTTTTCACATTGTATTTAACTTATACTAATTACATATTCCTATTTAATGTTTCTTTTTTTTTAAAGCATGAAACTATTGCATTTTAAATTCATCCTACTGAAACTTGGATCTCCAGTAACTATTGCTGTACTGACTTAATTGAAAATCAAGTGGAAACTTTCAGTATCCAGAGTGTCTTACAGGAAATGAACACAAAGCTGAATGTTTTCATTCTCATCACTAAGCGCTCTTGTACTGTTGATGCAAGCCAGCATCACAGGAAATGGAGTTGTGTCACAAGTAGAGACTAATCCCAATCCTATTCTGGTGAAGGACTACATTGGGGAATCTGGGCTACAGCCAGCTGGTGACATGACTTCATAAACACAAACTAGTAATTTCTGGGCCGAAAAACCAAGACTGTGCTCGGAGCAAGCACCGGAGCAAGCACCTTTATTGGCTAGATGGCTTGGCAGCTATCAGTGCTGAGTAACAGCTCAAGAAAACGTTAATACATATGTGCATGTGATAAGTAGTTCAAGCATCCAGCACACAGCCGTAATTGACCTTGCATTGCTGAAGTCTTTCCTGTGGTCTTGAATAGTTTGTGAAGGACTAGGGGTTACATGGCTGTATATTCTACGCACTTTTCTGCTGTCAGCTCAGGAGAGGACTCTCTTCCTGTTTAACCTTTAGCACACAGCTTGGATGAGAGAGTTCGCGTTCACATTTCTGGGGCTCAGAGCAACAGGATGCCAAGCCAAACCCTCTATAATTAGAAGCTTTGCAAGAGCCATAGAACAACAAACGTCCTTTGCAGCTATCGCCCATAGAAGTGCAAGCCAATTAATTTGGCAAAGGCATTCTGAATAATTTAAATGAGAAAACCCTGAATTCACTGAGATCATTTTGGTATCTTGCAATTCTAGAAAAGAAGGTGTTGTGACTACGATGTTCTCTTCAAAAAAGTCAGACACCATATCCAGTATATATTATCCATTTTAAAATCTAAACCACTCAAAAATGCTTTCCTGCTATTAAGAGAAATGATTTTATATGGAAAATGAATCTGTTAAATACAAAATGCAAGTATAAATGGTGTCCAGCCTCTGGAATTAGATCTAGTATGACAGGATTTTATTTCCCCGCAAGTTTCATCCTTTTTCATGCTGCCTGTTGCTGCTGTGCAATGCTTTTACAATTACATTTGCATGGAAACAAAAGGTCACTTCCACAATGATCAAGGTATTGCAGAAAACATGCCTGAAGTTCCAAATGCAGTATTCACGATGCAAATATGTCCCTTGGTAACTTAAAAACTGAGCTTTGTGACAATAATAAAAAAACTGGGTCACAATAAAATGACAAAACCTCAAAGAAAATACCGATGAGCCTTTTATTAACATTATCACAAGTATAACCAAAATTTAATATTGTCCAAAAGCTATAAAGTACCATTTCTATCCTATTTGATCTGTAAATATGTGACTTGCAAAGCCCCCACTGTACTGCAGTGCAAAATCCTCTTTTTCCCCCCATTTCATTTTTACACATTTGTAATTTTATTTAACTTTATATATAAATAACATGATTGTAACAAATGAAAACTATTAAATGCTGAGAAAGGATTTTTATAGTGTTAGAATAGAATATAAACATGACATAAAAGGTCAGCAAGAAAAGGTCATTCCTGCAGGAGAATCCTGGTGGATTTAAAAGGTCTTTATACTTGACTACAAATTGTCACTCAACCCAACCATAAACCACATGGCAAGATTTAGATCAGTATATTCAACACTTGCTTATCGTTGGTTGCTGTATAGTTTCGTTTTTTACGCTAGAAATGATAAATTATTTTATTTTATACTTGAATGTGGAATAAACTCAACTTACTGTACATTTCCAACCAGTGTAACTCCCAGGTATCAGGAAATACACTAACGCACTTACTGTATGACTTTAGTTATGTAAAGAAATGTGCATATTTTTACTTAGACCAATTTTGTGTACCAGTAGCACTTTACTCAAAGGTGTAGATGTGCCCAGCTGCCTCTTGTTTCCCCCAGTGTCCAAACCCTTTGGCTGAAGTGCTTGATAAGGATAAGGTGTCTAACCAGGTCTTGGACCCTTGTCTGCCTTCAGGGAAGACTTTCACAAGCTCTGAGAAAAACATGATTGGAACGCACGTGTGCAGATTTGGATTTCGTGTTATTACTCATTTGGCATGCCACAGGTTCACTGATCAAAGGAAATATTATTACAATTAAATAAACAAATACAATAATAAGGCGCTTATGAATGGTTTTTGCATTAAGGCTAGTTATAGACTTGCCATTTCTTCATATTCTGAAGCAATATACCACAGTTACAGGAAAATGTAGTGGTCTGTTCTAAGTTAATATGTAACCTTTGCACTGTTCAAATCATTTTAAGGTGCCAAAAACACTGTTGGGAAATCCTTTCCATTTAAAACTCACTGCTCTGTTGACTGAAAATCTGCTAATTGCTTTCTTAGTCTGGCAAGAGATTGGATAGCTTACTGTACCTATGTTGTGGGATACCTGCTCATTGATTAGCTGTTTGTTTTTTAAAAGTTAAACCGTGGCTCACCAGGACCAGGACAGGGAACCACTGTTCTATAGCCAATATATCTGATATACTAGAGCTCCTACACATTCTTCAGGTGATCCATAAAATGTGTACAAACAAAAAATGTCTCTTGTCTTTAAACATTTTTAAATAATAGTCTGACCAGTTAATATTAGGGGTGGCCCAGCAGACAGTACCCAGATAGCAGGCATCTATGGTGCTTTACTGGTTGAGCTACAGAAGCCTGATTTGTTGTACATGAAACTATTACCTGGTAGATGTCCGATAAGCTACTGCTCCCAGAGTCACTGGCGATGCTGCATCCTGATTGACTGGGAGGCACATGCATCACCTGTTGGTGTGGATTGTCAGTGAGATGCATCTTGGCGAGATCTGCAGGGAGCTGAATAAATAATAATGAAAGGAATAAAAATTAATTAAAAAAATTAGGCCTAAAACAAAGAACTACTAATGCAAATTAACTGTCCTTTTGCTTTGGGATTTATTAATCAAAAAATCAATTCTCTCTCACAAGGCGCATATGTAATGACATAACAAAAAGATGGTCATAGTATTGTAGCTGGTAATAACTTACCATGTTGCAATACAGTATTTCTATTTTATGTACAACTTTTTAATGCGCCTTTCTGAATAAAATTTTATAAAACAGTTAAAATGTACTTTAGATTTTACATATCGGCAGCTCAGGAAATTAGCAGACCTTTTAAAATTAATATGCTGCCATTTTGAACTCAGTATTAAGAATGGCGTTAATATGTGCACATTTTGGAATTTACAGAGATATGTTTAAGCAACAAAATGTAAACATTACAAAAACAGGAAATCAATATACTGTATACTCAAATGAATACAAATTGACAGAAGCACAAACATGTAGCACTGCAGTTAAAACAAAGGCTGACATTACATCAAAATCTGTGTGAAAGACTGTAGTGTTACAAAGTGGACTATTTCCCTTTGAAGAAAAGAAAGTAGACTTTGTCCATTGTCTCCAAACTCTTTCAAACGGTACTTGATGATCTGAATAAGAACATTAAGCCTTTAAACATTAAAAACTTCAGGATGCCCGCTATGCTGTGTAATATTTCTCGATAGTTTGAAAGAACCCTCATTTTATGGTTGACAAGCGACCTTTAAGTACTGCCTGCCTCCCTGGAAGCCTTTTGACAATAAATTTAAACTCCAACTGTCTTTTCAATGTGATCTTTATTACCCAAACTGCCCCACCTGTCTGTCACAGCTGAATGAACAGTGATCTGGTGTTATGATATTTTTGTATCAAACTGACAGTTTGGAATTTTAAAAATGAGTTAGCACTACTTTATCACAGAGCTGCTTAAAGGGACTGTGGCTGGAAACCATACATCATAACATTTATTACTGAACTGTCAGTCCCACAAAAAGGAAATCTTTGTGATGTTTACTCCAGCAGCTGGAGAGTGTGTATACCTACCAACCTTTTGTTTTTATTAACATACTGTTCTTTTTACACAGATTTCCAACTATATAAAATAAAAAGTATCATTAATAAATTACATTTAAAAAACATTCTCAAATATCATTCAGTGTAATAAAATGCATAAACAGTTTAACAGATTGTTACTCTCAGTTACTGTGAAATCAAACAAAACTGCAACAGAACAGGTATTCTTTCCCTGAAAAAGCAGCCTGCACAATTCAAAATTATTTAGTTACATTTAAATAGATATTATTTGGAAAGCTGCAACTGTGGAAAAAGACAACATTTCTGAAAATCGATCACTTGTGCTACCCTACATTTACGCATTAAAGACGAGTGTGATCATTCATGACAGCCAGACATAGAAGTACAATCACTCTACTTTTAAAGTATGCAGTAAATCTACAATGTCTGTAACAATAAATACTTATTTTTGGTCAAAGCATTTAAAATGTTAAAAAAGAACAAAACATTAACTCTTACCAGTCTCCAGTGCACAAAACTGCCTTTTTTAGACTGCTTAAATTTATAACAAATTTCTTCCATTATAACATTTGACAATCTGATGCCAGACAGCTGCACAACTGTAATTATCGTTGAAACATACAATATTAAAGACGTCAAGGATCCAAGCTCACGGAATGCTTCACTGCCTACTATACAAAGATGTAAAATTGTTCTGTTATGTCATATTTAGGAAACAAAAAAAAAACAAAAAATACCACAGTCCTAAAATAAATATATATTTCACAGTGATCTAACTTGTACAGTTAGATACTAAAGAATGTTTAAGAAAGTGACAGCTACAGCAGACCAGTGACCTCCCATAAAGAATCCAGTATTGCTCTCACCCTCTACACCAACCAGACAGGACTGTCAGGGGATAAGTATGAATAATGTAATGCAATTTTTCGCTCCTCAAATGTGCATTCAGACAAAAACACAAAGAAACGTCCAGCAGATTTTAAGCTCCAAATGTCTACTTCTATTAAACAAAATCTAGTTTTTGTTATGCTGTGCAATTAATGCAATCTTCTTTCATTTTGACATTGTAATCCCATCTACATTGTAGTCTCTTAGTTCAGGCTATTGATTTTTGATACTAATATACAGTGGGAATAATAAGATACAAAGTCACTGAAATTAACAATAAAAAGGTCGTTGCCATATCAATCAGTGGAAATGACTTTTACTCATAGCAGGGTTAACTGCTTGATGCTGATTAAATTATATTTGTGGCTTCACAGATTGATTACAGTTCTGGGGTATCAAATCAGCTTATGAATATATCCTACTGCAAGGAGATTAATCAAAATGAAAGTGCTGCCCATTGCAGCAGAGAAGCGCAGTATTAGATACAAACCAATATTTGTAATGTATTACTTCCAGTCCAAACTATAATTATAATATAATAATATCATATAAAAATATATATATATATTATTCTTCTATAGTATGTGTGTCAAAGGCTATTAGTACAAGAGTTCCTTGCAAATCAAAAGAGCACAATTAATTACCATACCCTAATTTGCACTGGAGCAGATGTGCCTGCACTAAGAGCACTAAACTGTTTCCCACCTAAAGGAAAGGGTTTCCAGTTTGCATTATGAATAAATTATAACTGTAACTGATTAAATATGAATGACTGCTCTCTTCTTCACTATGAAACTGTCATATCAATACAACCCAAAGACAAAATAATTGTCATCTTCTAGATAGCAGAGCTGTAAGACAAATGAAGGTGTTATGGGTTACATCTTAAAAATACAAAACATACTACCTGAAGTACCAAAACAGCATGGATCACTTTCTTTTGGAGACTTCATAAGCTATTTCATGCAGCGTGCTTTTAATCAGACATGATGTCACAAATAGGCAATGAGTGATATAGTATAGTAATAAACCTCTGCAGGTTCATTTCTTTCCTTACAGACCACAGTTCAAAACAACAAACAGCCATTATGTAGTGGTAATAAGGCCTTTATGTAAGAAGCCATTTAGAACAAACCCAGTATATCACAGCTGGAATAACATCATTAAAACATGGTTAGTTTTCCAATCACCTTCAACCTGATAGTCATCATGAACAACCTGATTAAAATGTATTGTGATGAAAATGTAAAGAGTATGCTGATCACAGTATAGTTTAAAACTAATTATTAAAAATAATTTAATGTGTTTAAATATATCTCCTTTATAAGTTATGAAAGCTTGCATTCTTCACCCACTCTCCTTTCTTAAATTTAATCAATTTCACAAATACAGCTGAGTGGCTTACCGAGTATAAAAAATACCAAATATTCATTTTAATCTCTTTATAGTACAATAACCTGCTGTCTATGCTCAAAGCACATCTGTTTTAAGGCAGTCTAATCGACTTCTAGAGTGTGGAAAGGACAACATACATTTAAATTAGCCAGATGTTCATCCTCCTCATCGCAATTTGCTTTTACTCACAAATTTACCAAATCAGGGTGTTTTTAAGGGATTTCCAAAGAAGAAAGTGGTAAAATTACAAATGTCAGGCGGACAAAAGGTAACAGAAAATGAGAGGTCCAGGGTAAAAGAATTTTTGCAGTGAAATGAGGCTCATATACGGCAAGTTAAAGAAACTGAACTTCCCTTACAACACTCCAATGGCAAAAGCAATTATGTTAACAGCAATGAAAACTATTATTGCAGACTGTCACAGTCGCATGAACTACTGCAAACTTTAATGGATTTTGTAATTAATGATATGGAAGAATTGCTACACTTTGTAAGAAAGCTACTACCATAGTTACAGATGGATCTGAATGTAAGATCTTAACACTCACACAGGCTTCGCATGTTATGTTTTACCTTCTAACCTGTGAAAAGTGTGGTATCAAGAAATGAGTGTACTGCACAGTTCTGCACATGTTCTGTAACCATTATGAACTGTATGTTTCACCCTATGACCTGACTTGTTAAAACTGGGTTTAAACTTAGAGGCTGACAAAGATCTGGTTTTAAAAATATACCTTCTTTAAAGACCATGAACCTGAAATTTCAAAACTATTTATTCACCAATCCCCATTCCTTCTAACTACTAGAATATAAAGTCACTTATGGTTAGTATTTGAAATGAATAGACACAGTCATCTGAAGTATTACCTTTACTGAATGATAAAATACTAGAGGCAATTCTAACCGAAACGAAACGAATTCATTAACAGTCCACCAGACACATTCAGCACCCAGTGCCAAACATTGAAAGTTACAATTCAAGTCCTCTAAAACTATCATTCTTAATAGCTGCAGAAACTGCACAGAACCAACACTTCACTTTACACTTTGGAAACTACCCTAATATTAACAGTAGTTTTGGCATATTGAACTATATATTGTTTTTTAAAGATACTGCAGTTATTCAGAATGGCAAATGATAATTGCTTTATAGCGAACACACAAAAGATAAGCTTGTGCTTAGTTTGTACTAAAATTGGAATGGTTTGGTTAAGACCACCTTGAAATGAAATTGCAGAAAGCTGCTCTCCTCTTAACATTATAATGTATGACAAATGTAACAGCTGTTATTAGCAAAGCCATTGCATTAAAGGCAATTAATGGTATGATATAGGTTTAAAGTGCTTGGGCCCCATGATTGATATTCAGTGTGCAATTATTGCATTTCATCGTTTTGATTATTAAAACATTGATCTCTGCCATTTCATGCTATCCTCCCACTCTTGGAAGACCAAAACTACAGAGCAACAGAGAGAGAAAAAAGCATTATAAAAGCATCTGAATTTAAATCTTACAGTTTTACCTATCCTCTATCATCACTGTGAGTGGTGTACAGTTTTGCTTCATAAAGTAACTTAGTAAAACATTTTAAAGAAAAGAGCAAAAACAGATTGTGCACCACCTTCCTTAAGCAAACATATGCACAGTTGTCTCTC